AAAAAAATCTCATTCGGATAATTATTTTTCTGTAGATGCCCATGTCATATGTATTAGTAGATAAACCACATATATTAAATACAAAATGATTAGGTGGCTAATTATGATTGGCCGACTCTTGAGCTTGTATTGTAAAGTCTATTTATAGCTCTCCCTTGTAACCATGATGGGTATAATAGAAATGATATTGTCTGCTACATCTTTACTGTGTTTTCATCTCTTATTCTCTTGCTCGTGATATGAGTCTACCTACTCAAGAATCCTTCATTTCTACATGGTATCAAAAGTAGGCGATCAAGAATCGCGAAAATGACGAACACGGCTTCATCCCAAATAGAAGAACGAGAAGAACCCGTAACACTAGATCCTCCGGTTCTTTCCTCTACACTAAAATTTGCTGTCTCTAACCTCAAATCTATTGTGCAAATCTAGCTTACACCCAAAAATTATTCCATATGGCGATCTCAAATCACCAAAGTTTTTCGTGCAAATGGTTTTGAATCCTTTCTTGATTCGAAAAACCTTAAACCCCTCCGGTTTCTTGATCAATCCGACGGGTCTTCTTCGCTAAGCCCAGATTTCTCGCATTGGCTACTCACAGATCAAAACCTTTTCGCCGCAATTTGCTCTACTATTTCTGTTAATGTTCTTCCTTATATCATTCATCTTGATTCAACTGCTGCCTATGGGATACCCTTGAAACTCGTTTCCAATCCACAAATCGCTCTAAAGTGATTCAACTAAAGAACAAATTACATCACATTTCTCTCAAAAATTCCTCAATGACTCAACACCTAGCTGATATAAAATCATTGGTTCATAACATTGCTTCGGCGGGATCCACAGTAGATACCGAAGATATCATCTTATACATCCTCAACGGGCTTCCTCCAACTTATCAATCCGTTAAAACAGCCATTCGCGCCATGTTAACCCCCATTAGCCTTGATAATCTATATGCTCTTATTCTTAGCGAAGAGGTAAACATTGCCTCTGATGCGTCTTGAATTTCTTCCGCACCAGATCCGAACACTGCCCTCTTTTCTAATCATGGACGGAGTCGACGTAACCGTGGCAGGGGTTCTAACTTCTCCAACTCACAGATATCCAATCCTCATGCCACAGTTAACTGTCAATTTTGCTTAAAAAAAGGTCACAGAGCTTCCTACTGCTGGCATAGATTAAATCCGCATTACGTTCCTCATTCCTCAAACAGCTCTAATACGGCTTTGGTTGCCGGCAATCCAAGAACCTCCCCGGAACAAAACGGTGTTGTCGAAAGGAAACACCGACATATAATTGAGACCACACGCTCCCTTCTTCACACGGCTAATGTCCTCTACACGTACTAGCCTGACGCAGTTCTGACGGCTATCTATCTTATAAATCGCATGACATCTACCAACACCAAGAATACTTCTTCGTTTGAACTATTACACAACACAAAACCCAACTACACTAACCTTCGCACTTTTGGCTGTGCATGCTTTCTGCTTATACCTTCTCACGCTCGTCACAAACTTCAGCCAAAATCAAAGCAATGTGTGTTTCTTGAGTATTCTGATGCTCATAAAGGGTATAAATGCCTAGACTTATCTACAAACAAAATTATAATTTCTCGGCATCTCACCTTTGACGAGCAACAATTCCCTTTTTCACACACCAGTTCGAGCAATACAACTCAACCTTCTACTACTTCACCCTTTCTGCTAACCCCAGCTTCCACCTGTAACTCTCAGCCACTGCAATCTCAGTCTATTTCTCGGACGGTCGACTTGTCTCCTTAACAAAATATACGCCTTATAACTCCGCAGCCTACGGTTAACTCAACACATTTGGAGCTGCATTCACAATTGCCTTCATCACCTATTCCCACGCACCATCACATGATAACTCGACATCAGACAGGATCATTAAAACCTGTAGTTCGATTAAATTTACTCCACCAGCATGCCTCCGAGCACATCAAAACCGACCCAACAACTTATACCGACGCTGTCAAGTATCCTGAACGGCGTCAAGCTATGGCTTATGAATTTCTTGCATTGCAACAATAGGGTACTTAGAGTTTGGTCCCTCCACCTAACTCCTCAGTACTAGGTTGCAAATGGACCTATCAACTAGAATTCCATGCTGACGGTTCTATAGACAAACATAAAGCTCGCTTCGTGGCATTGGGAAACAATCAAGAATTCGATCTCGATTATACTGAGACGTTTAGCCCCGTGGCTAAATTACCCACCATTCGTATACTTCTCACAATCGCTTTAGCTCGTGATTGGCAAGTACACCAATTGGATGTTGCCAAAGCATTTCTCCACTGCAATCTCATGGAAACGGTCTATATGAAACAACCTAAAGGGTTTGAAGACTCTATTCATCCAAACTACGTATGTCGTCTTCACAAAGCCATTTATGATCTCAAACAGGCTCCGAGACGATGGTACAACACTTTCACGGCTTACTTAATATCTCTTGGGTTTACAAAAAATACCGCTGATCCTTCCTTGTTTTTATTTAACAAAGCTAACGTTTAGTTATTATTGCTCATATACGTCAATGATATTTTATTTACTAGCAATAATCATAATATGCTTGCTAAGATTCGTGAACAGCTGAACTCGAAATTCCCTATGAAGCATCTTGGCGTCGCTCACAACTTTCTTAGTATCCAAATTGATCGTCAAGCTCATCAATACTTCCTCTCTCAAAAGCAATATTGTCCAACTTGTACCAAATTCCCTACAGATCTTCTGCCGGATAACTTTCTCTCCGATCCAACACTATACCGAAGGCTTACAGGATCTCTTCAATATCTCACTCATGTGATCGTATATTGCATACAACATTAATCTTCTATCATATATTAAATACAAAATAATTAGGTGGCTAATTATGATTGGCCAACTCTTGAGCTTGTATTGTAATGTCTATTTATAGCTATCCCTTATAATCGTGATGGATATAATAGAAATGATATTGTCTGCTACGTCTCTACTGTGTTTTCATCTCTTCTTCTCTTGCTCGTGATCTGAATCTACCTCCTCAAGAATCCTTCATTTCTACAATATGCAGGAGATGAAATGACGGTGACTTCCATGAGGCAGTTAAGTATTGCATTAAATGAGTATTTATTGAGCTAAGCAGGCTATGGGTTTTATTAAATGATGTGGCCCAATTCTATTATTATTATTTAGCAAACAAACAGCTCCTTTTTAAGACATTTTAATCGAATTTGAGGGTTTGAACTTTGTTAAGAAATAATATTTTTTACAGAACTTTAAAATTAAGCATAGTAATAATAATAATAATAGTTGTATATGGGAACATACCTGATAGAAGAAATATATAAATTATAATGCATTAATTTTATATAAAGATCAAGTATATATAGATAAGAAAGAAGGGTGTATGGGTCATATAAACTGTCAATTTTTTTATGAGAAAATCCTAAAAATGGAAACCGACAACAAAAATAAAAAAAGAGCAATACATTAGGGGGGATCAATGATATGAACGTAGTCAGGTGATGGAGATAAAGAGGGATCATAGTCGAGCAAGTGGAGGTCTGAAGTTCATAGGCAATCGACAACAAAAATAAAAAAAGACTAGGCAACCAAGAATAGAGGTCAGGCGGAGACCTAATATTGGCAATAACACTTAGGGCATCTCCAACCGAAAAACTCATTTTTCACTCCAAAATGCAATAACTTAACTCCAATCAAACTTCATTTTCTAACATAAAAAAGGAATATTCTTAGCATATTCTTTTTCTTATTTTATTTTAAATTTTTTTAATCATAAATTTATATTTATCAATTTTAAACCTATTATAATTTTAAAAATTATGTTTCTTTTCTCGATATAAAAAAATTGGGATATTAATATGTTCTAAATAAGCAAATATATATTTGATACAAATAAAATTACATTAAAACATAAATGAAAACCAAAAAAATACAAGAGCAACTAAACATTAAAATTAGTATATTAATCCCACAAATGCTCAATTAATGCATTTCATAATGCAATGTGGGCAAGAATATTAGAAAAGAGGTTCGGACAACAACAACCTCCTTCAAACTCGTTTGGACAATTTCTCGCAGATCTTGGAGGAGCTGACGCCACTCTTCCGGATTATTAGATTGTCATAACTTGCTATTTTATTTTATTTAATATCAGAACTTGTTTTGTATTTTGATTCAAATTTTTTTTTTAAGTATTGTAGTATTCACTATTCAATGTCTTCTATTATAAATATATTATATGAAAATTATCGTAATTTTTATGTTAATGTTTATCTTTAAAAAAATAATTACATAAAAAATATTTTAATTTTTGAATTATTTTAATATCTTTAATGTAATCCTACTACCAATATTTTAATTTTTAATTATTTATAATATAAATTTATATTTAAACATGTACAATTAAAAATAAATTATATATATTAAATAAAAATGGCGTATGAACAATGCAACGCCATTATTAGCATCACACTGCTCATTGGCATATGAATGCTGGCGAAACTGCCGTTCAAATGGGATGATCCCCAAACGCCATTCAGGCATATGCCAATCAACTGGAGACAGCCTAACTCTAACCTCACTTAAAAGAATGATGCAACTTGAGAAAAATCAAGCACAAGGTAGAGAGTTTCCAACCATATTCACTAAGCAAACAAGCCAAGCAACACTAGGCAATCAAACACATTCATAAACTATTAAAAAATAAGTATTTATTTTTTATTTCTAATAATGAATAAAAAATCATAAAATATATGACTAAAAACATGACCGTGAAAATATGGCTCTCTCCTTTGGCAAATGAACCATAAATATTATAAGATGATTTCTTTCTAATTAGATAAAGAGAAGCATCAACCTGACAACAACACTACAAAAATGATAATTTTCTCTCAAAGTTTAGGCATTTGTCATAAAAGCATCGCCTCAATTCGAAAGTCCCAAAGATTTCCCACACTTCGTACTCATTGATTAAGTTAAAATCATTAATTTGAATAAGTTTCAGCACAATTCTGCCAGAAACAACTAAAACTGTAATCCACATTAGCAGAACCCTTCACGATCAATTCGCTGGCATTGTTAAAACTAACGGAAACAACGGAACAGCCACAGAGAAGTAACAAAGAAAACAATCAGAGTTGCTGCGCTATATAAACTACATCACCGATGTACAAAACCAACGTCAGAATTTTAAAACAAGGAATAATGATAGGGATTATGGCTCCGCTATTCCTCTTCTGCGGCACCGGGCTTAGATGATCCGCCTGCCTTCTTTGGAAGGAGAAGGTTATGGATATTGGGCATCACGCCACCATTAGCGATAGTCACTGTGCCAAGCAACTTTGAGAGCTCCTCGTCATTCCTCACAGCTAATTGGATGTGTCTCGGAACAATCCTGGTTTTCTTGTTATCCCTAGCAGCGTTTCCGGCCAGTTCCAGAACCTGTTCATGTTCCAAAAGTAAATGATTCAGATAAATCGTTAACCGTCCCGAAAGTTTACTGATTTTTTTTTGGGAAGAAACTAAATGAATTAGGAAAACAAACGAAAAACAAAGCAATAAAGGAATGAAGAACCACATAGCATTAACCATGAAAACAAATATTTTGGTGGGCAAAAATGAATAGATAATGGATTAAGATGGGAAAATCCAACCTTAAAATCAATAGCTACTGAAAAATAACGGCAATCACTACGTTTCAACCTTACAATAATGAGGGTTAAGCTGCCAATCCGGTTCCATAAAGCTCACAACAAGATGAACCCACTCTAAGCCCTACCAGTATGGAAGAATAAGACGAACAAAGAGCACACAAACCTCGGCTGCAAGGTATTCAAGAACGGCTGCAAGGTAGACTGGAGCACCAGCACCGACGCGCTCAGCGTACTTGCCAGCCTTGAGAAAACGAGCTATACGACCGACGGGAAACTGAAGCCCCGCCTTGCTGCTCCTTGAAGTGGCCTTCTTTGAAGCTCCGGACCCTATAGCTTTCCCTCTTCCGGCCATTGCGAACTGGCTGCTAGGTCTCCGCACCAGATCTACCTCCAAGTCGGAAATAAAGCGCCGCTTACTCTCTACTGTTCCAGAAGAACGCCAAAATATTATTTATAGGATGAGGTCCTAAGGTGACCAATCATAGTAGAGCACACGGATTTCAATCGGGTACCGTTAGTTGCAGATGCGTTGGACGGTTAGATTTAACGGACAGAGGGGAATCCGAGACCGGTACGCCTCTGGTTTGGACCGTTTGGTTGGGAAGTAATTTTACCGGATTACCCCTTCGAAAACTATATCAAATTTTAGGGTAATTTTGTGCATATCAAAATTGTGTATATTTATAGAAATAATATAAATAGGGTTTTGGGTGATTTATGTTAAATGCTTAGGTGCCAATTTTATAAATCTTGTGTGTTTATATGCATAATTTATCCAACCACAATAAATAATTCTTGCTGAATCTATCAACCATACAACAAGATATAATAACTAAAACTAGAAATCAAATAATCAAACAAAAAATATCTTTGAATTTTTTTAAATTTTTTTAATTTTTTTTAACAATAGAATAAAGAAAAAGGATAAAAGTAGGTCTAAATGTGCAATTATTTCAACAATATAGTATTTTGCAAAAAGCATATTACTTCCCATAATATGAAGCTAAAAATTAGACGTGGACGTATGATGTAATAAGATAATGGTGAGCTAATATAAAACTTAATAGACTTGAAATATGCTTAAATTTTTTTGATATAAAATTTAAAATAGCTCACTAATTTATGCAAGTATACATGCTAAATCAAGTAATAAAGCGATAAAGTAAAGTGTCGAACTCACAAGAAAGTGATATATTATACAACAAAAAAACAACTATTCTTATCAAAATACATTAACTTATCCTACTAAAATGAAAATGAGGATTTTGAGTTCCTACCATTGAATAAAAATTAAGTAATAAAGTTAATATAATTTTGATAAATATTTTGGTTTGATACATGTAAATAACATATCTTTTTTCTAATGAGTCTTTTAATTATAGATGTGGATTAGAGCATGTACATCCTTATATTTCTGTCGAGCTTTTAGGGATAAAAAAACTTAAATTAAATTAGTCTCATTATAATTTTATTATCTCCATAGAACCTAAAATATTCAAACATCATATGTCTAGACATGCCAATATTTTATTTCAATATTCCTTATTATTCTTGCATTCTTTCGTTGATGTTATACATCACACTAGATGTTAACTGCACACATGATCATTATATGCATTAAATTAAGAACGAAATATATTGTAAATATCATTATCTCTATTAAAGAAAAAGAGTCTACATTAATACTTAATATGATCTTTACATCATCAGTTCAAAACAGAAGATCTAGCTAGTCATGAAATAAATAACAAACAAACTTATATTCTTCTTATTCATAAAAGAATAAAGTATAAGAGAAGTAAGAAGTTTATCATCATGGCGGATCTAAGTGTCTTTTCTACACTCTTTCTTCCTTCGCTTACAGATTTACTAAAATAAATATCTCTAAAGATTGAATCTCGTACTTTCCTAGTCTCTATTGGACTTTACTCTAAGGGGGAACTAAAGAATACACGAAAAAAAATACATTCATAAAAATGAACCCGCAAAATAATAAAACTAGCTTCTATTTATAGTAAGTATAGGATCGGGCGCTGCTTGATAGGGTTGCTCTGCGGCGGCCAAAAATGAATTAACGTCTCAATGCTATGATGTTGGTTCCGTTGCAGCGCTGGATACATGACACAATTACAACATGAATCAGTTCATCTCTTAGCTAAGTCGGTCCGACTCGTAGCAGTTAAAACTGCTCTGCCACGTCGCTGTGAAATGTGAGCATTGTAGCGCTTGGAACAACTTTTTGACGTTGCGACATAGGAAAGACTAACGCTTATACGTTGAATTTTCCCAGGACACCCAATGTTGCAGTGCTAATTTCAAGCGCAACGACGTTGTGACGTGATGCGGCACTAACATCTGTGATGTCGTACCCCTTGCAGACAATCAAGGTCAGCATCGTTGTGTTGAAATCAGTGCTCCGACGTGGATCAATACGATGCTGCAACATTAAACTTGTTGGCGTTGTGACACTTATAATATTGGCTTTTTCCTGCACAATTTTTGTACAAAAATAACTAAAATAACACATTTTTATTGTATTTAACATAACCAAAATATTACACAATCTATACTTATCACATATCTAATGAGATATATAAAGCAAATGGTATATGATATATATACTTCAAAACATTATGTTAAGATAGTTGCTATTTGCATGTTTTACATTTTTGCAACTTATGAAGTTTTGATGATTCCAAACATTATTGTTCAAATGTGTAGTTATCTCCTAACATTTTTTAGAAGAATTGCATTTGCTCTTATGTGTACTGACATTTCAGGAAAAATTAACTCCAGACTACGAAGACTTCAAATTAAATTCAGCATGCGATACTTTGTAAAGATTTGAAGCTTGCACTTTTTTTTTTTTTCAGAAAATCAAATTTGAAAGGGCATAGTGTGTATTTGAGATGATAAAACGATACACACAACAAGAGGATCAATATAAATTTCATACTGAATGACAGGACGTGTATGTTCGTACTAGGAATACGATCAAAACAGTTGATCATCCTATAGAGCATATGGAACGAATAAGAACTGCTCGAAATTTTTTTCTAAGTCCTATTTCGTCCATGCGAAATAAAATATCGTAAGGACGATTCTTTCACCGGAAAATTTATTGTTCAGACGCAATTTACATTTATCGTCCGTAGGCGACATGTCCTGCTGGTATAACATTTTCTCTACAGAAGAAATTAAAATCATTCGAGGACATCGGTTCTGTGCGAAAAGTTCGTCCAACAGAAATAGATATATCGTCACGTGGCGATGTAAGTCTTGGAAAATTTCGTCCAGACGAGCAGAAGTCAAGATTAGTTAGTTGGTTATCGTAGGTCTTAGGTTGGAGTTGGGAGTTTTAGGGTTTAGCATGACGATCCGGTCCTCTGTAAATTTTCGTGCAGTACGAATAAAATATCGTCCAAAACGATTAAACCGCTCTAGAACAGATTATCTCAGCAGTTTCTAGAACCGGCCTTAGTAATAACCGTTCGTACTGGAAGAGCCTAGTTCGTAACATACAGTGACAACGAATCAGAAGTACGAAGACATTTCCGTACACATATTCAAAAGGTGCGTTCAAGATCGTAAGTAAATCGTCCAGATGATCACGATCATTACGGTATGACGATCCACTGCGTACAGAATTGAAGTACTTGCAGTTTTTGGGATGTTTTCTTGTCTTTTGTATAAATAGTCCAAATTAACTGCACCGCAATCTTTTGTCATTTGTTCTTCCATTGGCCTACTTGCAGAGAATACGCCAAGGAAGAGTGGAAAGAGCATTCAAGGGCGAGGATTCTACACTGGAGACAAGAACTGGCTTCACTTGAATTTTAAAGGTAGCAGTCTCTACTTGTGAATTGGATTACTGTCACTCTCATTTCCACTTATTCCTTCTAGATTCTGTGAAAGATCTGTCAAGGAATCAGTTCTCTCGACACTTGGAGAGTGTGAACAGCGTAAGGTTCTCTGCCTACACCTTTGGAGAGTGTGAACAGTGTAAGGTTCGTCTGGCTACACTTGGAGAGGTTGAAGCCCGAAGGTTCTCTGCCCACACTAGGAAGTGTGAAAGACCGCAGGAGTTCTACTGCCCACACTAGAGGAGTGTGAAAGGACGGACGTTCATCTAGCCACACTGGGATAGTGTGAAAGGAAGGATGGTTCTCTGCAACACTTGGGGATTGGTTAAGGACCGGACGGTTCTCTACCGCACCGGGGAGTGGTGAAAAGAGTTGTTGGTTTGTATAAGGCTCTTCTCCGCCTTGCTGTGGTTGCAAAGAGAGCACTATTAGTTAGTTAGTGACAATATCTCAGAGAGGTGTAGCCTTGGGGGTGGATGTAGTCCTGGTTTAAGACCGAGTACACCTACTAAATCTGGCTGTCATTTATATTTACTGTTTTACGTTTCCGCAACTTTATAATGTTATCAGTTTTAAAAACTCTGTGGTTGAAAAACATTTTTCTACAAAATTTAAAAGAAATTTTTATTTCGGTTCAATAATTTTAAAAAGGGGACTTAATTTCTAAACTACCAATTCACCCCCCCTCTTGGTAGCCTTGGGACACTCACTTAGGCTTAATAACTTAATTACTAGACTAAACACATTATAGTGGGTAGATTATTATGATTAAGGGGTTGTTTGATTATCTAAAAAATGAATGCATTATAAATGAAATATAATGTAAAAGAAATACTTTGGAGTTATTTTGGATGAGTGTAAAGTAAATGCAAGTGAATGCTTCAATTCTTTTATTTGGTTTGAAGTAAAACGGATGTAGCGTGATGTCCAAAGATGGTGGGGACGGTGGTGGCTGGTCGTGGTGGACGAAGATGAGTGGCAGCAGTCGGCGATGATGGAGGTCAAGAGAGCTTGTTTGTGGTATAAATTGTTCTCACTCGAAACTGAGCAAGTTTAGTTTACCTTAAATATAAATTTAAAACTGTTTATACCATATTTATTTTACTTTATTTTGCATTCTTGTTTATCGACATTAAAATGAAAAATCAATGCATATTTTTTTGCATATCTTATCGATAACATTCTAATGAATAAGCTTTTGAATATTTTTTTAGCTTTTATCTAATAACTGCATGGTGGAAAACGTGTTACAACTCAACCCAATATAATCGGTTTCACTGAAACGGGTTGTACCATGTCAAAGCCATAACATGTTACCTATTTTTCAAGACCTAATTGAAAGAATTTTTATTATTTACTTTTCTTCTATATCTATAATTGTTGCATCCTGGAGTATTCACGGTGGTAGAGAAATATATTGTTTATTGAATGAAGATCCAGCACACAAGCAGATTAGATTGAGGGTGTAGTATTCATAAGAGATACTAGAGTTTTTACGTGGAAACCCCTAAAAAAGGGGAAAATTCACAGGGTCTGACCCAATTTAAAAGAATCCACTAGTATTTTGCAGTTGATTACAAATGAGGCCCTTCCTTGGAAGAAGGCCTTGGCTTGATATCGCAAATGTACATCATATAGAGCGCATTACATCAACATAAACATATTTGTTTGGTTGGTAGGACCATAGTCGATAGGACAGAGGTCGGAAAGACCGTAGCAGGCCACGGAAGTAAGAAGGACCGTAGTAGTAGGGTGGTACTCCAGTATAACTCCGGGAGTTAGGTGGTGGTCCGATAGAAGTTCGAGCTTTAGGTGTTTGTCCGGCAGCACTCCGATGTCAGGCGGTGTTTCGACAGTGGCACTTCAACGTCAAGGGGCACTCCAGCTTCGGGTGGCACTTTGACTTCCTTGGACGGTATAGTGGTGGTTTGATATAACCTGGCGGTGGTGCGGTAGAACTCTGATGGTGGTGCGGCAGAACTCCGACAGTACACATCCAAACCACTCCCAATTTACCCTTGAACTTCAACTTATTTACAAGCCATGCCACTCAAGAATTCTATAAATAGAACTTCATTTCCTCTTGAAAGGGGGAGAAGAGCCAAGAGAGAAGAATGGAGAGAAGAAAGAAAGCTCCAGCTACCTAGCTCCTCCTCGACCACCGTCGGAGTTCTGCCGCACCACCGTCAGAGTTCTGCCGCACCACCGCCAGGTTCTGTCAAACCACCACTAGACCATCCAAGGAAGTCAAAGTGTCACCCGAAGCTGGAGTGCCCCTTGACGCTAAAGTGCCACTGTCGAAACACCGCCTGACATCGGAGTACTATCGGACCAACACCTGAGGCTCGAACTTATGTCGGACCACCACCTAACTCCCGGAGTTATATTGGAGTACCGCCCTACTACTACGGTCCTTCCAACTTCCGTGGCCTACTACAATCTTTCCGACCTCTGTCCTATCAACTATGGTCCTACCAACCAAACACATATGTCTATGTTGATGTAATGCACTCTATATGATGTACATTTGTGACATCAAACCAAGGCCTTCTTCCAAGGAAGGGCCTCATTTGTAATCAATTACAAAGATTCTTTCAAACTGGGCCGGACCCCGTGGATTTTTCCCTTTTTTAGGGGTTTACACATAAAACTCTGGTATCTCTTATGAATGCTACACCCTCTATCTAATGTGCTTGTGTGTTGGATCTTCGTACAATGGTAAGACGTTAAACTATATATTTCTCTACCACCGCGAATACTCCAGGACGCAACAACAACATAGAGCCTTTTTAGTTCACCCAAAACCCTAAGGGAAGCCAAGTTTTTATGCATTTGCATTTCCCTTCTAATATTTGCATATCATATTATAATAATATTTCAGTTGAAAAAGAAATCATTTTCATATTTTAGCTAAATTACTTTTTTCCCCATAACAATTGCCTTTCAAGTTTATGCGCGCATACTTATTTGTAGGCTAATGAAATTTATCTACATTCAAAGAAAATAAACAATTTCTCCAATCTTCAACAATGTTAAGAACCATTTATATAAATAGATTGAGGGTATATTTGAGGCAGCTTCTTGACTTTTTTTAGATTTTTGTTACACATATTTTAACTACTTTTTTTTTTGTTATTCTTTTAAAATTTATGTGAAGGGAACCTGCTAGATCTACGTGAGTGTGGTAGCTCTAAAAAACTTGTCCCAGTTATTTTAAAATTTATAATACTCAAAACAATTTAAAAAAAAAATTATTTTACCTCCAACAACTTTAGAATAATATTTACAAAAATATATAAAATTTTTCCCAACAAATACTAAGTAATAATCTATAAATTTTTTAAATTAATCATTAATATTTTATGTCTAAGTAATCATAATTAAGTGCAATATGAGCACGTAAATTTTTACTAATTAAAAAAAAAGTTATGCATTGCTAGTTTGATAGAGCATTCATTCACCATAAAGCATAACAAAGCTCAATTTATAAGAACAAAAGAAAAAAAAATTGCAGAGAGTTCATAATACATAAGAGGTGGAGCTTTCATTCATCTAGCCTAACTTGGCAATCAAGTCATCCAGCTGAGATTTAGTCTCAGCATAATACTTCTCAGCCTCTGTAGAGCTCTTAATTTTTGCTGCATGGTCGAGCTGTCAACAAAACAAGCACAAAAATGCTTCAGAAATCGGACACAAATCAAACAATCAAGAAAATATAAGCAAATTTTGGGAATTAGAGTCACCCAAAATAGAAAATTAAGGCAGAGAAGACTAAAGGAAGCAGACATATAGGGGCTGTTTGGTAGCGCCCAAGATTTGATTTAAGTAAGATTTTATAGATTTAGTACAAAACAGAGAGAAAATTGTCCCAAACATATTCATAATCTGTCTGTTGAGAATTTAAGCTTTCAATTTAATGACATCGTTGAACCCAATAAATTGGGTCCTGCAATAATAGTTCAGGCAAGAGGTGAAAGGAACTCACATCGTCGATGGTAGAGAAAAGCTTAGAAGTAAGTTGCTTGAGAGCCTTCTTCTCCTCCTTTGGCTTAGCTGAGATGACAGTGTTGAGATCGTAACGGAGATACTGAGCCTTGAGGCGCAGGTCGTTCTTGACGTATGGCCATTGCTTCTTGTCGATGAGCTCTTTGACATTTAGAATGTCCTTCGCTGACTCTTTAGCCCTCTGGGCGGCTTCAGCTGGAGGCAGCGGTTGAATGAAGAATCTTTCTTTTATTGGAAGATCCAGATCTCTTGCCTCATCAGAGTTCAGTGTACCGGCTATGAGATTCAAAATCTTTTAAATCAAATTGAAGATAATAAATGAATAACATAAATCCAAAATTATAAATTTGCTTTGAACTTTAGATAATCACTCTTTGTCTGTTTTGTTCAGATTCGGTTCTATTCAGTAAAAATTACTGTACAGATGAAGCAGAGAAACCTACGGAGGCCGCCGGAGGGTGCTGGCGGAGGACCAATCTTGATAAGCTTCGGTTCGGCGAGCACTCTATTGACGAAGGCGACGCCGGAGACCCCTGCGGTGAAAAGTCCAAGCATGGCGCGACGCCCACTCTGAGCTTCTGTCTCCGCCGGCAGACCTTGAGATTTTATAACACTGAGCCCAGCCCGGCCACAGCCGGCGACCCGAAGACTCGCCGGACCCTCAAACCGGCTTCCTCCGCTGCGCTGGAGACTTCCTTCCAGAACTTTCTGCGAGGAGCCACGCAAGCCAGCCATTGAAGCCATCGCCTGCGCCATTTTTTCTGCCTTTCTGGTTGAGTTGAAGAATGAAGAGTGAGTGGACTTTTAATCGGAGTTCGGACTCCGAATGGGATGCCTTATCTGCGCGTTCCGATTTGGATAAGTTGAGATCCATTGGATGGTGGCCACGTGTTACAACGTGTGGCTTGAGCTTAATTTGAGGTGGATTGTGTTTGGCATTGGCCAATGAAGGTTTCACACGTGGATAGAAAGAGGCCCTTGGATTTTTAAATTTTCATTTGATTTTGAATCCAATCAACGACTCAAATTTCTCATTATGTTGAGCTATGTTGAATCATGTTTTATTCCGTGGATGATATCTGGTTGTATTTTGTGTCATTTATAGATTGATAACATGTGAAGAGAAGATAATTAAGTTTGAATATGAGAAAAAAGAGAGAAAGTAATGCCCATAATTTAATTTATTTTTTTATTCTTTATTATATAACAACTAGAGCTATTTAATTTTTTATATCAATAATAAACAGCAAAAATAAATTCTATAATTCAAAACATTAATATACATCTATATTCATTGACCTAAAAATAAATCATATATAATACTCGTGAATCATATAATCACAATATATCATTCAGAAATAAAATATGAGGAATCTTGATAAGTCTCATACTCTTGAATCTCTTCTCTGATCTAAAATCATTTAACCATATATAATGAACTCAATAGTCTATCAAACAATCAAATCATACAACTAAACTCAAAACACTACAAAGGAGCAATATGCATGTGAGTGGTCAAATCATAACATATATCATGAATCTGTACAGAAATAGTAAAGCTCACATGCAGTAGCAATATAATATGTAAATAACAAAATAGTGCGACATGGAAGTCAGTAAAATAAGACTGTGGGGAAACTAGTATATCAATATATATGTCGAATCAATAAAGTAGTCAGCATATCAGTCCTACCAATCAGTAAATAAATCATATAAAACGATAAAATCAAAGCAACAATAAATACTGTTGAAATCATATCAATGAAGTAGAATCTTATAACAATGTACACATGCTATTCAATCATTTTATATCAGTATTAAATTAGTATTTTTATCACATGCTGCTTAGTTTATCACATGCTCAATATATATTAGTATAATGAATCAATAACAATAACAATTATAGTGAATCAATAGTAGTATTAAATAGTATTTATATCCATATCAAACAATGTTAGTACATTATCATCAATAAAATCGATGGCAATAACAATAAAGCAATGTAGTAACAATAAATATATACAATTATAGTAAATCAATAAATAATAATAGTAAAGCAGTAAAATTATATAATAATATCAACAATGAATCAATAACATGCATTTCAATAATCATATGCTACACTATTCAGCAAGTAAGGAGTTTTGGTTATCACCTTGTTTTTCAGTAATCGGTAGTTAGTAACTATTGACTCAGTAAACATAGTCATCACTTTTTATAGGGGTGTCAATTTCGGGTCACGGGTCGGGTTCGTGTCTAACCCGAAATGACCCGAAGCTAAACGGGTTGACCCGAACCCGACCCGATTTTGGATACGGGTCACTATTCAAGACCCAAACCCGACCCGAGTCGGGTTCGGGTCAACCCGGATTGACCCGCTAACCCGAGTAATTTTCATTAATATCTAAAAAAAAAATAAAACATCAACACAGTTAAACAAAAAATTGCATGAAAAAATTTTTTATTTATGAATTAGAAGCAATTTGCTAATTACAATATACAAATTATACAAAATATTAAACTAACAAATAAATTAAACAAATAATTACAATTTACAGATAATTCAAACGAATATTACAATTTAAAAAAATTTTGAACTCCTTGACTAGTTGAAGTCTTGTGAAGTTGTGCCTGCCTGCCTGCACTCATGGAGTCCTGGAGATATAAGCTAACTGCAAAAAAGATAAACAATTAAATAGATATAATTTTAAATCCATGAATATTGCTGAATGCACTTTCAGATGCTACTGTTGTTATTGGAATGCATAGTATATCACGAGCCATTGCTGAAAGACTAGGAAATCTATATTGGTTCCCTTGCCAAAACTTTAAAATGTCTAAATCAATACTGCTATCAATCTTAGGTTCCTCTAGGTAGATGTCTAATTCAGATTTCCTAGGTGTAAAGGCATCCTTCTGGAATGAAGCAAAATCCTGTATTTTTTGGATGGGTATTAGAAATAAAAAATGGAAAATAAATGAAATGATAAATATACATATAAAGATCAACAATGAACCTGCAAAAATTTAGACTTAATCTTTGTAGGACACCCTTGTGCAACTGCATTCATTCTTGTACTTTCTCCTATTGCAGGATTCATTCGTGGATTGTAGTTAGCACACAATGAAATTAACTTGAGTTTCAGCTTCCTAAGTTCGGAGTTGGAGTTGCCAGCATACAATTTTTGATAACACCACTCAACAAATGCCATTTTATATCTCGGATCTAGAATCACTGCCACTGCCAAAATATCACTGAATTCTGACCAGTATTTTTCAAATTTCACAATCATTCCAGCAGCCATTTTCTTTAGAGACTGATGGCTACTCAACAAAACATTTTTAAGTTCCGCATAAGCTGTTGAAATACAAGGGAAGTATAAATTTGCTGTAGGATATTTAGACCCAGAAATGAGACAAGTTATTTCATGGAAAGGTTCCAAGAACTTGCAAATCTCTTCAGCTTTTTCCCATTCCATAGATGTTGGACAAGTCTTGTAATTAGAATCAACCAATTCTAAATGTTGAAAAGCACGTTTAAAATAAATAGCACTGTCAAGCATTAAGAAGGTGGAATTCCATCGGGTTGGTACATCCTGACGTAAACCTCGTCTCCCATCCAAGCAACTTTGTGAAGCACAATCAAGAAATTTTTGTTTTCTAGCTTGAGATCCCTTAACATACTTAATGCTCTCTCTTATTTTCCCAGTTGCACTATCAATGTCTTTCAAACCTTCTTGAACTACAAGATTAATGATATGTGCTGTGCAACGTATATGAAAAAAAGCACCCTCCATTATCAAGGCATCACGCAAATTCAAATGATTTTTTAGATAATCTACACAACTATTATTTGCAGAAGCATTATCCAAAGTAATACTAAATAGCTTGTTCTCTATTTTCCATTCAACCAGAAGCAACTGTAACTGCTCAAACAATGAAATTCCATCATGGGGAGGTGGCATGAATGAAAAAGTAATAATTTTCTTTTGCAAATGCCAATCATTATCAATATAATGAGCAGTCAAACAAATAAAACCATCAGTATTTATAGATGTCCAAAGGTCGGATGTTAAACAAATTCTGCTAGTGACTTTAGATAACTGTTCCATTAAATTACACTTCTCCTTAAGGAATAATTTTTTGCAATCATTTCTAGCAGTGTTTCTAGAAATTAATTGCAAGTCACGGCGAAGATATAACAGAACTGCTCGAAGCCCAACCCATTCCACACATTGAAAAGGTAAATCATGCATGATGATAGAAGCAGTAAACAAGTCACGAAATTCAGCATGATCAAACTTGTCATCACACATAGATATTGAAGATTCAGTGTTGGTTTGTAAGATCAACTGTCCTATATCACGCATATTTCTTTTCTTACAATTTTCAAGGTGGCGTCTAAGATTACCGGTTCCATTTTTGCTATCACATAGATAAGTAGTACCACATTTTTTGCATTTACATTTTTGTTTTCCATCACTCGTATTAGGTAACATCTCATAATGGCCCCAAACCACTGAGGTCATTCTTCGTCGTTTCTTAGTAATTGTCGCATCATTACATTGCTCGTTAGTGGGCTCTACAGGTATTTCACAAGTCTGTACTGCTTCATTTTCAGCAAAAGAAGAATTCCCTTGATTGGTATTGGAATTCTCCATCTAACAAAAAAATTACAAAACATAACTTCAATACTTAATGGGTTGAAGCTGCACTGAACTAACAGCAGTTACTGCACTGAAATTACAGAAGAAACTACACTGAAATAACAGTAGAAACTGCACAGAAATAACAGTAGAAACTGCACAGAAAAACCAAAACATAGAGCAGGGCTAGTTTGCATAGAACTAACAGCAGAACTGCATAGAAATAACAGCAGAATTGCACCAGAAATAACAGCAAAACTTGCACAAAAATACCAGCACATAGAGCTCGACATGGCTCAATCTCATTTGCACAGAATTAACAACAGTTAGTGAACAGAAATAAACAGCCGAAACTAAACAGAAATGAGATAGCATAGATGATAGAGCTCGACTTGGCTCGTTTCAACCACATAAGTGCATCACTGAAATAACCTAACAGAAAAACCAGCAGAAACTGAACAAAGATAACTAGAAAATCGAGCTCAACTTTGCTCGTTTGCACCAGAAATAACAGCAGAAATTGCACAAAAATACCACAACATAGAGCACGACATGGCTCGATCTCGATTGCACAGAATTAACAGCAGTAAGGGAACAGAAAAAAACCGTCGAAACTTAACAGAAATACGATAGCATAGAGCTCGACTTGGCTCGTTTCAACCACCTAATGACATAAGTGCATCACTGCAATAACCTAACAAAAAAACCAGCATGAAACTGAACAAAGAAAATCGAGCTCGACTTGGCTCATTTGCACCGGAATATCGGAAAAACCCTAACCCCAAAACGAACTTCGCATTTCACAATATGTAGATCAAAGGAAAAGGAGAAGAAAGGAAAGAAGATGAGAGATACAAACAGCGACAGAGGTAAGTGTTCTTGTTGATCCAAAGCAGATGTGCACGATGAACACCACGAAACCACGAACCAAGAATCTACCACAGAAGGAGAAGAGAGTAAACCGTCGACAGATCGAGGAGATCTGTACAGAAGAAAATGATAATCGGAAACGGGAAACCCTAGACGAAGCAGCGAAGCAACGAAGGAGAGGAGAGCTCGAGGTTTACGGCGCGTGAAATGAAAATGACGAAAACCTAACCCTAAAGGCCTTATGAATCCCGCTTACGCACGCGGCACGGCACACGTTTGACGCCGCGTAAAATTTAAAGCGGGTCGAAACGGGTCGTTAGCGGGTTACCGGGTTAACCCGGACCCGACCCGAAATTTGATCCGGGTCACTTTTATGAACCCGAACCCGACCCGTTTTTCGAACGGGTCGTGTCCAACCCGAAAATTCCGGGTCGTGTTCGAGTCGGGTTTTCGGGTCGTGTCAATTATTGACAGCCCTAACTTTTTACTCGTCGGCACAGTAATACTTTTAACTCCTAATCATTGTATTATTATATCGTTGTATCACGTGAATTAGTAGAGGATAAAACCAACCACAATTTTTAAATAAATATCTATCGACCCACCATCATGTACATGCCAATCAATTTTCAATCAACGGATCAACCAATTTTTATTTGTCTTTTACACATTACAATAAAAGCAATAACAATTAGTTTTATAGAATCTCATGTTCATTTCCATTCTTAATATTTTTATTTGTCTTTTACACATTACAATAATACGCTTAAATAAAATATCTAATTTCTATACATTGAACATATTTAATAACTTTTATTTTACCTAGTGAAATTTATAAATGTCGCTATCAAAATATTCGGAATAATCAGTGCAATAATATATAAAAAGTTGTGCAGTAAAAATTTAATAAATTCAAAAAAATTGCAATAAAATAAGTTCTGCAGAGAATAAAACAGTTAATCTCAAAATATTTAAAAACAGGGATATGATTAAAATTACCTAATCGATATGAATAATTTAAGTAAAAACAACAAAGCGATCCAGAAACCAAAAACCCATATTTCCCTTTCTTTCTGTTGCGTTGCAATTCAAACAGAAATTAAAAAATTCTTCATTTTCAAATATTTTCAAATTTCAGATAATTACAAAGAAGATGGATGTGTGTATCCACATAAAATATTTATTATCCAAGCCAGATATGCAATAATAATGAATGAGAAAGCTTTGGACTGTAGATCTTAAGCAAGGCAAAGAGAAAAACAACAATACGGCGAATTATTGTGTCCGGTCACCGGATGTCCGGACATCCAATCCGGTGATGCTACGTCACCCAGATACATTGGGTCTCGGTGTATTTTGGTGATGTGGTGACACCGGTTTGGTGTCCGGACGAATCCGGACACCGGACGCAATAATTTGCCCAACAATACAGAGCAAAAAATTCTCTTTAGTTTCATGTTTACATCATATATTACTTTTTAGCAGTTTTATAAAAACAGTAAGGAAGTTGTCCCAAATGAAGTCTGAGATGAAAGTTAACACTTTCTCTAAATCATTTTAATGTATTTATTTTCAAAAGAAATGATAAGGGTATATTTATAAAATTTGTTTGGTTAATTTAAGAGTTTTTTAATTATTATTGATGTTTATCAAAAATAAGCGGCAGCAATCCTTGATCGCATTCTAACACGTCTAAGTATTATGAAGATTATATTCTCTCAATGCCCACAATAAAAGTCTTACTATTTTTGCATGAAAAAAAAATTATTTAACAATATTTATTTATTATCAAATATTGTACTTTGCATCATTATTCATCCATGAAGATTAAGGCTTCGTTTGGGACGGCTTTTTTACTGCTTTCTAAAACGGAGTTTTAGTACAAAATTTTTTATTTTTGTATTAAAACTCCGTTTTATAATGCAATAAAAAATCCGTCCCAAACAAAAAAATTTTGTACTAAAACTCTATTTTAGAAAGCAGTAAAAAAGCCGTCCCAAAGGAACGGTTTTTTTACTACTGCTTAAATTGCTTTCTAATAAAAAAAATTTTCAATAAAAAAGTTGTCCAAGGCTTCGTTTGAGATAGTTTTCTAGCTGTTTTCTGAAATAGCTTTTTTATACAAATTTTTTTAGTTCAACATATTTTATGCTATAAAGTTGCTTTATAAATCATTAAGAAAGTTAAGGCTTCATTTGAAATGACTTTCTTACTGCATTGTAAAGTTGCTGTAGAGAAATTGAATTTTTAAAATTGCTGTAGAAAATAACTTTATAGAAAAACTATATATTACTACCAATCAAATGATAAAATTAAAAAAAATATATATATTCTTCAGGTTCTTAAACATATTTTCAACTAAAAACAACCAACTGAGCCATAGGCATCGAGTTAACTTGAAGCATCTCTCTGTTCTACATTTGCTCCTTTGTGTGGAAGTCGGTTTTCAAATTTTTATTGAGAAGGAACTAAAATGATCCATTTGACTCTTTATGAAGAAATAAAATGGCCTTCAACTATATTAAATGATCATTTTAATTCCTCAAGTCTTAAAAAATGAATCATAATAGTCTCATTGTGGAACTATTGGACCATTTTGATCATTTTCTCATCCTTACGCTATTTTCAAAAAGAAAAAGACAACAAATATAAAATCTTATATTTTCACTATAGCTATGTTTAGTTTGATTAATTTGTTAAATACTGAAGCAGAAAAGCCATAACTACTAGAAATGAAACTTTCCTTTTAGAAGGACCAAAGAAATGAAATTTCGTGTCACATTAACTAAACCAATAAACCACAGGCCAATGAAGAATTCTCAAGCTCTGGCCACCCTCTCCATGACTTCCTTGAGAACAACCTTAGTTTCATCGTAGCACAGCCGTGTCTTAGGATCATCCTTCATCTTCACAGCTTCTTCAAGCTACAAATTAACATCAATGAAACGGCAAATTATTACGTCCGGTGTCTCGATTCATTCGGACACCAATCCAGACGCCCCACATCATTAAAATACATCGGGACCCAGTGTATTCGGGTGACGTGGCGCATCTGGATTGGATGTCTGGACGTCCAGTGACCGGACGTAATAATTCGCCCAATGAAACACGTTTAGGTTTCGTTTGAGACAACTTTCTTATTACTTTTTAAAACAGTTTTCTAGCACAAAAAATAAAATTTTTGTACTAAAAACCTGTTTTATGAAATAATAAGAAAGCCATCCCAAACGAAGCCTTACTTAATTGTGTTAGCTTAAATTAATTAAGGCCTTGAAATATGGAGAGGTTTGTGTTAGAAAATCATATTGCGTTAACACAATATAAGGCATTATTTGTGTGATGACTGATGGATGGATGGGGGCCTTAGATCACTGATGCGATCAATATGTGGATTTAAGAGATTTTTCTGATATAATTAAAAGAGTTTAGATTAATTTGATACTAGAGTTACTTTGAAGGTGGATGAATTTTGGAGTTAGGTCATAAGCTCTGTATTCTGCCCAGAGAATACAAATAATCCAACTTCTTACTAACTAAAGCTGGCGGCGGACAAATGTGGATGAGCAGCTCGAACGGCCGCTTGACGACCTCTTTTTTCCCTTGCTGATTCAAGCTCGAGCTCGAGCTCTGTAGTTGATAGACGAACTCGACTCGAACACTCCTTGACTCGAGTTCGACTTGACTTATTTGCACCCCTAGCAGTGATTAATATTGATTCAAATAAGTGTCCAATTAAATTAGAATATTGCTAATACCTTATTGTAAAATTATTTAGATAGTTAAAAATTATTGAAACACTCAATCAAATTTTCTTTGGCATATCCTCATATATAGTTTAACTTGATTTGGGAAGGGTAGACATGTTCGATCATTTGTTTGAATAGGTATGATTAAGGATCTTAAAAAAGTTTATTTTTTCGGGTCAGTCGGGTCAAATTTGAGTTGTTGAGTTGATTCGAATCCAATCTAATTTTTCAAACGGGTGTTAAACGGGTTGACCCAAATTCAAATGTTTCAAATCGGATTATCGGACCGTGTCAATAGCCGACCCCCTAATTTTATAGCATATTTTAAAAAATAAATAAACAATCTACATATTTTTAAAATTATGATATTCTGATCATACAAAGGCGAATGTTTACTAAAAAGAAAAAAAAATCCTTTCACAAGTTTTAAGAAATTCTTATTAGCATTTCTATCCATCCAAAGCCCTAAGTTCCGTATCGCTCCGAGCTCACTTCAACAACCCATATCGATGGGTCTGCTTTCCTGGTGGAAGGGGAAGGCGGTGGCGCCGAACGCTGGCTCTTCAGGAACGAACAACGGTGGAGAGGGTGTTGCAGCGAAGTCAGAGGAATGGGCGGTGGAGACCTCGGGCCTAAACGGCGCGATGGAGGTTCGCCGGCCGGCGGACGTGACGGTGTTCGAGTTCGGTTCGGCGGCGGCTGCTGGAGAGAAGGTAACGCTTGCTGGGTATTGCCCGGTGTCAGAAGAGCTGGAACCTTGCCGCTGGGAGATCATCCCGGCTGCCGGATCAGACGCGCCCCTATTTCGGATTGTCTTTTGATTCCAGGGTATCTGTAGAAACTCCTTTACCTAGTTTTGATAATATGAAACTTTATGAAACAACTTCTTTTACTTGCAATGCATTTGAAATTGTTGCTTAAATTCTAACTTTGCAGGATTTTGATTCTTGAATTTGTGGGAATTGTTTCATTTTTATTTGAAATAAAGTGGTATGTATGTAAATCCCCCTTGATCGACTACTCAAATTTATTATTTGGGGAGTAATCATTAAGATTCGTATTACTTTTATCCGAGCTGGGATCATAGGACATGGTGAAGTTAAATTGTTTCTTTAAATATAGCAGGTAAAAATTCTTATTTAAAATTTTGTATATATGTCTGTCCTCTTTCATTTCAGATGAAGATAGATCTAACAAGAAGATTAGTTCGAGCTAGCCAGCCTCAATTTTACTTGAAGATTTCATTTTTAGTTCAAGTTAAGTTGAAACGATCTATTTTCAAAATGACCTTCAAGTTAACTCAGGCAATGCATATTATCTTTAAAATATATTTACGAAATTTAAAATTAATCCCATTATATATCATCATCATCGTCATCATCTGCAGCTTCTCCATCTCCATCATAGTCACCATCCTGTGCCTAATCCCAACTATCAGATTTGGTTCTATACTTCTATCCAAACACCTAGGTCTCCAAATTGAAGTCTTGTCGTAGTAGTCTTAAGCACTAGGTCTTATGATTTAGCTACTGAACTTAGGCAGCTTGATCATGTGGGTGCTAATGCATACTCAAATGCGACATTTATTTAGTTTTAATAGTTTCATACTAGTTTTTGAGAACAAGCAGGTCATGAGAGGAGCAATGACTCCAATGGAGCGAGGGACTTGGTCTGTATGACCTTAAGAATCGAATATGGCATATTTAAGGAACCTGTGCTCTTAAATGTGATGGCCTATATGAAGGTTTGGACGAGTTGGCAAGTTCATTGAAGGAGCTACAAGCTACAGGACTGGTTGGCGAGGAACTTGGTCCTATCCCCCCCCCCCCAAATGCATACCTTCAACATTAAGTGAGTTTATTTTAAATCTTGTATTCCAGTAATATTATCTTAAAACAATTCTTCAAATTCATAGTTGACATAATATTTTGTTATTTTTTTATTATTTATAATTTTAAATTAATTTATTTTAATGGTTTTGAGGCTTACGCCTCGTCTCGTTTAGAAAAAACGCCTCGATTCCCGATTTCGCCTTTTAAAACCTTGGCTAAAACACAACATCCATGGTGTGTACTTTCTAGACAACGAAATATAAGGAGAAGTAGGGTTTTTTAGATTATAATTTAACCAAATGGCTTCTAGTTTCACTATTAGATGTTGAACCTTGACTTGGATGAGGCAAAGGGGTTTGAGAAACATAGACTGTGGGCCTGTGGCTCACTCTAGATGACTGTATTGACCAAGGAAGGCTTGTGTCCTTGTTAAAGCTAGTGTAGGCTACATATTGAAGTTGTGTGGAGGCTCGAAAATGACACAGGAAAGCTAAGAGGAGAGAAAATGTTGGGAGCTTTGGGAAATTCTCTCGGGCTATATCTATGAAGAAATCGGATCATACTTTTAAAATAAATTTCCTCTCGTTTTTATTAGAATGAGAGATAATTCAAATAGGAGATGAATGACAACAAATTTTAGGGGGCCAATATGCGAGTGCCTAGTGAATTAAAGCATTAAGAATCATGAATTGCTTACACGGTTACACCTTCCTGCTATGGTTTTTGATTGCTAGGTGGTCACTTTTTGTTGTTTTTAAGATGTAAAGGCGATGGAGCTTGGGGTAGAGGCTAGTTGGGAACAAAGAAGGGCCAATGGGTAGGCTAATTTGGCTTGGATTAGCCAAATTAGGCTCAAGTGAATCAATTAATTGGTTTAAGTGCATCTAAGTTGGTCAAGTGTGGAATTTAATGGAATTGTTCCACTAGGGTTCTAGGCTAGCTACTTGATGGATAATATTGGTCACATGCTCAATTGACAGTTTCATTGAGTAAAAGTGATTGACCCAACTGGGTTTATTTGGGTCAATCATAGGTTATACTATCTATGGTTGGACTAGGCTAAACCATATAAGGCTAATTAATATCCTAGGGCATAAGCTAAGGAGTCCTAGGGCCAACTAAGGTAAATTGGGGTCTAGTGGGTCCACAAGATGTTGAATAGATTGCTGGGTTCTAACCACTTAATTTTTGTTTAAAGAGAAATCTTATGTAAGTTCAATATTTAGTAAAGTGAATTCAAAGTAGTTTGGATTAACATAAGAAGATTTAAGAACTAAAGGATATGTCTTATATTCGAATGTTAAATCGATGAATTTAGGTTCAATTAACCCTAATTGTCATTAATAGTTTGGCTACCTACTGCAAATTGCAATCAGTCCATCCTAGTGATTAAGATGAAGCTAATTTGATTTTGATCTAGGCCTAAGCTAGATTATGTCTGACTTAGGTCTATCAGGTTGAAATAAGTTAGGAATCCTAAATTCTATAGTAACAAAACTTAAGCACCTAAGTTTGAGCTATATGGATATTATAAAGGGTCTTGGGGGTCCAAGAGAGTCTAATGAGGGTCCAAGGATCTTAGGAAAAGGCCACTTGCAAACTAAGCGGTATTAGGCATATTAGGGTTTGTCTAGAGTATGGCTAGGCAAAACCTAATCCAAAAAATAGGCAATCAGAAAGCTATGCCTACCTTCTCTTCAGCCTCGCCTCTTTCTTTCTATGTGGAGTTAGAGATAACTTAAGCTGCTTTGTGAGGTGCCCTTGGGTTTTCAACGCCTGCTTATACTTTGTTAAATAGTATATCACCTTTCGTAAGGGCCATGGGTTAATGGGGTAAACTTTGTTGGGATAAATTGACAATCCTTTAAGTACTTTGCCACCTCTAGCAGGAAAATGAATATCAACCCATGGGTGAACTATGTATTGCAGAAGCATATCCCTAGATCCACTATCATGTTGATCTTAGAAAGTAGCATCACCATCATTCTGATAGGAAGTGCTTGTAAAAATTTAGGAAAAACCTTGATTAAAATCTGATTTCAGCAATTTCAGCAAACCAACAACAAGAAAATCAGGAATAGACCACACATGAACACTTTTTTATTGAAATTTTTATGAAAGAAAATACAAGATACAAATGGATCTTTAATTGGAGAGAAAGATATGACTCTCTCAAATCTCTAGTTGCTAGCTAGAGCCCAGACACCCTAAGAACAATCTGATTTCAACAAACAACACATAGCCCTGACCCTAGGAAAATCTCCCTACTTAAATTATACAATAAACAACAAAAATCCAAATAGCTCTCCCCCAGTTCCCTTAAAAATGTCATATTTCCTTAATTATTTTGCTCCCAAATCAACCCTCAAATCAACTCCCAAATATTCTCTCTTCATTTAGGAAGTATTTCTTAATTAATCATCTCCAAATCACCCCCCCAAATCAACCCCCCAAATCTACCATCTTAAATTAGGAAACATTAATCCTATCCAAATCAGCCCCCAAACTTGCCCCAAAATCTGCCCTATTCAATTAGGAAATATTTCCTAATTAATCCCTAAATCAGCCCCAAAATTTGCATTCTTCAATTAGAAAATATTTTTGAATTAATCCCCTCCAAATCGCCCCTTAAGAGCCGGTCAAGGAGGAAGATAAATGTAAAGTTACACTTGAAGAATTTTAAAAAATTTTTCTCAACTTAAAACATGCTCAATCAAATGTAATATAAAAGCTAAACAAACCACAAAATATATATAATAGAAGTAATGACAATATATACAAGTGCAGCTACGAAATAATAAAATGTGTAATATTTTATGCTGTGAGTGAACCATGCTAAGCACAATATTACCTATGTAATGCTCAACAACACAAAGGCACAAACTTGGTATCAATTTAATAAATCCTATTTATATGCAAAGGTGTTAATTAAAAAAGATTAAGCTTTTGAGAGTGCGAAGACTATAAACATAATTAAATATTTGGTAAAACTTAAAATTTGTGATGAGGACATTCACAGACGTTATCGATAAGTTTATCGGCGTAGGAATCGTAGATCGACGACTACGATTCACAGACTTTATTTTTGATGCATTTATGTATTATTTATTTTCTAGTTCCGATTGTATCCTTTTTACATGAGTTTATTTGAGTTGTAGCCTAAGGGGCATTTGAGTCTTTTCCTTTATTTTATTTTAGGCCAATATATTGATGCCTCATCTATTGTAATGGGATGACGATTTGATAATGAAAATTTCATTTGTTTTCTTCTTCTTCTTGTGTGAGCAATAGAGAGAAGCGAGAGAGAGCTCAAGGTGAGAGTGCAGTACCCACCAGTCGTTGGAAGAGTCCGCGACTCGTGGTTAATTTATTTTACTTTGTTTTTCTTCTTTTTGTCCCCACCCCATCCGTCGGCTCCTCCTAGCCCTTCCACCGCCGGCCATTTTTCCCCACCCAAATCCCCCTCACAACTCTACCACCTCAACCCCCACCACTGGCCTAGCCCCACTCTCCCCTCCAACCGAACTCCTAAGCCTGTCCCATCACCTTGCCGTCGGCCACCTTGGCCCTCCCACCATTAATGATGATTTTCCATCATCATTACCACTTACCAAAACTTACTCAAGTGTTTTAGGAAGATAACTCTTCAATTTGAAATTCAAATTTGAATTTCAAATAACTTCCTAAATTGACATAGCTATATTTGGAAAGTTTTAAATCCAAATTCAATTTAATTTCGAATTGGATTGGATTTAATTACTCCACTCCTTAATTAGTAAACCCCATTTGGAAACTTTTAAAGCTCTCCAAATCTCCTCCCTCCCCTCATCATGTCGCCGACCCATTAATGGATTTCACGCATTGATTGCCTAGTTGGATCCTAAGCCTTGGTTGAATTAGAATTAGAATTTTCAAATCCAACTCCCTCCAAATCCACTTAAATCTTAATTAATTTCATATTTATTAAAACTTTCCCTCCCAACCCCAACCTAACCTAGATCCTAACTTACCTAGCCTCCCTTTGCCTCTTAGAAACTCTAAGCTTCTCATGTATTTTGAAACCACAAGACGAAGGCAAGCTTCTTCCTCCCCCTTTCCTCTGATTTATGGCCGACCTTGAGGTTGATAACGGTCTTGATCGACATCCTCCGTTCTCTTTTTTGCAAAATGGATTGGGATTATGACAACTCAGTGGAAAGCT